CTGTTCATGTGTTGAATTTTCGAAAAATTCGGAAAAAATGATTTGCGTGGCAAAATGAAATTGTATTGTGAAGTTCTTCGCCAGAAGCCTCGAATCCTGTGTACAGCTCAAATACAACACAGCCATGCTCGATGATGAATCAACTCCAACTCGTTATTCCGTATTTGTTCGGGTAACTGTCGCTCCGCAGTCTGGGGAAGATCAGAAAACTCTGCGGTATGGAGCCCTCGAAACTTGAATCACTTAAAATGTTCATGAAACATTGATTACCTGAGAAATAGCGTATTATTCATGAATAAATCGGAAGATTCTTTGCATGTACGACTGTAATGTAATGCCTTCAAGATTCTTCGAAAATGCACTGCCGCGAAACTTCACTCATTCATTCAAGTAGATGTCGCCGTGAAATTCACGGAAACTCAGCTGACGGTCGGTCGGTCGGGGGGCACCCACCCGAATGCCACTGAAAATTTTTTCGATCACAGCAGAGCGACTTCTTTTGACTAAAATATGAACATCGAACACATCATTGAATATTCGATTTTAAGCCACCAAGTAAGGCCAACAATCCCGGGTTCTCAGTTCTCTGTGAATCACGTTCGGTTCTCAGGCGTGATGTGTAAGGGAAAGGCTCATAGTCCCTATCAGAACTCAGCTCACTGATCTCAATGAAGTACAGTGTACAATTTCTTGAGTGATGAGTGGATCCGGTTTCGACAATAACCAAAAAACTAGCTCGTAATAGTGCTAAAATTGCTCACGACAGAAAGCAGATACAATACAGTATTCTAAAATCCTCCTTGTGGATTAAGAAAGGAGTGAGTTATTGTGAGCGCAGTGATTGATTTCCTTGTCGAACCAGCAGTGAGTCTTACTAATCGTTCGGGCTGGCGTCGATCTATAATTTGCCCACCGTTAATCTATACCCGCTTCAGAAAGATTCACGAGATCATCCCTGAGAGTCAACGACGACGAGAAGGTGGATGAGCGATGTCGGATTGCACTACGTCGTGCGCTATTTCAACTATTCGGTATAGGTAGTTCTTCTCTGGACGAATTGCGGCCTCGTGTGGCTCTCCGCAACCGTGTTAGTTTCATCCCAGTAGTATACCGTCTTGGAGTTACTTTAAATTAGTATGGCCCCCGCGCGGACCCATATGCGCCGCCATAGTGGCCCGCGCGAAAGGCCTAAACGCGACATCGACTGTTTTTCCGCTTTGTTACGCGTGTCCAATCCCATGTACCCGCGCGCACATGCAGCAGCCAGATCCGTTGTGCACCCCTGAGGACCAACTCAGCCGTACTCCTTGTGCAGCCTGGGTACCGAATGGTTGTCGGTTGAATTGACGAAGTACTTGAAACTGTGAACTGACTAGTTGATAAATCCGCTACCAGAGTGAATGCAATAAACCTCTACCCTTGTGTTGGACTTTAGTGTATGCTTTAATCCAATAGGAAGTGTTCCTACCAAGTATTGTGAATTGTAGAGTGTGAATCTCTTACTAATTGATATTTGCAAGTGGTACTGCATCTACATTGCGGATTGCCGGCTTGATCCCTGAATTTTTTTTTTGATACAGCTGTTGGTACTGTACTGGAAAGCTCATTTAATTTTCTCCGCCTGCGCTACGTAATGCGCGGAATAGCTTCTCATTAAGAATATTGTGAGAAAGTGGTGCTATTACTCTCGAGGCGGAAGCGAATTTACTATACGCGATGCGTGCTTTTCTGGTAAAATTGCACTACGGTCTGCGAGACCTTTCCTACATCGAATTGGGGGAATGCGGATCCAAGCAAGGTAGTGTACATCATCACCAAGGAAGAACGCGAAAACGAAGAACGACCGAGTTTTACGTGGAATGGTTCGATGTGGATGAGCATGGGTTGACATGCATTCCAATGCTGGGGAATGCGGATCCAAGCAAGGTAGTGTACATCATCACCAAGGAAGAACGCGAAAACGAAGAACGACCGAGTTTTACGTGGAATGGTTCGATGTGGATGAGCATGGGTTGACATGCATTCCAATGCGTAAGTATCCACGTTTTTCTCCCCCAAAATTCTCGCATTAACTTTTACACTTCATGTTTAGATGTCCACAAATTAGAGGATGGTGTTAAACTTGGAGCACCGTGTTCGAGACAACAAAGCTTGCATAAGGTTTTTTCTTTAGGAGAAGATATTCGCAGGAGTGGCGCATTCGTGCTGGAACCGGATGAAAAACGTGACTTCCGGTTCGACGTGACAGTCAAAATCAACCGTGAAATTGTCCCGTCTCATTTGAAGCGATCCGTGTTATTGATGCATGGAGATATCATTGAGTTATTTCTCCAAGACATCCGTGAGTAGCCTTGAACAAGTATGGAACTGAGCTAAACTTGGTTTTTGTGTGTAGTGCAGCTCGTAAAACAACAAATAACTGATAATTCAATTCAAGAGATAAATTCACTCTAAGCGGAAACGTATAAATTACCATTTGCATGGTGTAATGACAATCAATTAATTTCTGATGTAGGAAATTATGTGGTACTGTGAGACAAATTTTAGTGGAAACGTATGTCTATATGGCAGAAATAATGAAAGGACGCAGATAAATCGGGTTGCAGGCGTTGCTGTTAGCATCCACGATTCAGTAACTATGACTCATTGTCGGTATACCATTCAATTAACTGTCCATACTTCACTGCGGACAATTTTTCATCGAGAACTGGCTGATAATTAGTGTAACGCTGTTAACAACTTTTTTATATTTTCTGAGAATCAATGTAATGTACGGTTAGTTAGAAGCGGAATATGCAAAAGAATAGATCAGCTTTGAACATGTAGGAAGATTAATGCCCGTGTGTTCAATTGCTTCCTGTATTGAGGGTCAAGTTCGGCTGCAAATGCTTTGGATAACTTAGTTTTTGCAAGAATTGTCCGCATCGCAGTTACTGATCCTATTTCATTGAATACTGAATCATTTATTTAGCGAAATCAAATACAGTATGGCTTTTTGACAATCGAAAATGTTTTCAGGGCGTTTAAAAATTTTTGTGTATCGCTCTATGGCTGTTAGCTTACTTCAGATTCTATACTCGCTGATACGCATATCACTCTTGATGCATAATACTTGGTAGAATGCTCTTGTAAATGTTGGATGCATTTTATAGGGAGGGTTTTAAGACGGTACCCGAGTGTGTTTAACACATATGTCATATCGAACTTACATAAAGTCGGATGAAGTCCCAGTACAAAGATAACTGGTTACTTATAAGCCATGCTTACGGTGTTTGAAGTCATGACGACAGTACAGGAACCAGCCAAGACGTAACCATTTTCCGGTTTTTGACTCCCTTCGAAGCCATGGAAAGCATCGTTCCGGTGTGTCAGCAATTTTTTCAACTAATACGGAGTGGTGAAATCTGGACAAATCTCAAAGTCAATATTGACTTTGAAACATACGTTCCATACGGTCACCTGGGTGATTTGTGCAAAGTGATTGCTCCGTGAGTTGCTTTTGTCGATTTTTCATGCTTCAATCCTCCATGATTTTGCTATTAGTTACGAGCGCACGTTAGTGGAATGTATTCATTCAGGTTTGAAATTTTCCCGCGAGAAAATATCGACACGCCGCTTTAAGAGAGGGATTCGAACCGGGGGATTACGATAATCTACAGTATGTCAGTGTAATTTTTTAATGAAGAATATCTATCAATCTAATTTTTGAGAGACTTGTAGCGTGCATGATGATTTTTCATGAATCCCAATTATAGGCGGCATTTTTTTATATATTTTGCCTCGGATTCGTGAACTATGAGCATCTTATTAAACGAGACTGTGATTTCTCAGGCGTATTAAGAAGCTTGTAGTGGATTTGGGATATCGAGCTATGTCTGGCAGCGCCATATTAAACGCAAGTAGCAAGCTAAGCCTACTGACCTCCTAAGACTTCCAGGACCTTTATGTAAGTGATTGTACGCTGGTAAAGCACCGACGTCAGGACCTTTTGTCTGAATTCTTCGTCAAATTAGAAACCCTTGTCATTCCTTGCGTCGATTGCGTTCGCCTTTGCCGTGGATCAGGGGCAGGATCAGGAATTGTTTTCCCAAATGTTCGAGAAGTCGCCCTGCTGTGTTCCTTGCGAGATGACTTCTCTGCTGTGGATTTGAAGCTGGTTTTTCCGAGGCTAGTATATTAGGTGACATTCAATTTGTCATTTTGAAGAATCATTTTCCGATTTCAGATTGAGGACGTTGCATTTGATCGATATAAAGAAAAAATCCTTTCACGAAGTGAGTCCAAATGTCAAGTTTCTCGACTTCCTTGGCTCTGGTGAGCTGCGAAGCTACGTACGCTTGTGGAACGGACAACTTAACTCATTACTGCTAACCGAAGTTCGAGTTTCTTCCCCCTGCAAACGACTGGACCTTAACAATTGGAACGCACCATCGCTCCAACTCCTCTACGGTGAGCGTGACATGATGTGCGATGCTTTCCCGAAGGTAACGCTGAAACTGTAAGATTGGACTTGAATTCCACCGTATTTTCCTGCGAGGACCACGCATATTATTTTTCCAGAAAATTACTGCAGGAAATTGGGTTGGACGTGGTATGCGGGAGATGTAAAAGGTTTTTTCTGTTTTATACAGTATAAACACGCAGTCTTATTCAATCACAGTCTAATTTTTTCCTATCTTATAGGACAAGCTGTGGTAATGACTACATTAAGAACTACAAGAAAGTAATAATTATCAGCGTGCTCTCAGTTACAAATTATTATTTGGTAAATTGATATAAATTTTCAGCCGACGAAAACTGAGGTGCAATAGCTGGTTTTTGGGCAAATTTGCACCGAAAGATCTTGTGGAATGCTATGTATTCGAAGGAGCCTGGTACTCGAGTAAATACAGCGTACGAATTCTCTGTGTACACTTTGTCAATCACCACTGCTCAAAAATTAACTAAAATCTGGATCTGCATGAACTTCATCAATGAAGCATGAAAACTAGTTCAACTAGATTGAAACAGATGTGAGCTGGAAGCGTGTCGCACATTTTTGCATGATTGATTTTCTTACTATTTATTTATTCATTGAACAAATACATGGGCTGTACAGTATTGTACAATGCTGACTGACAATACAGCATTTGCTTTATTGTCAGTCTGCTGGGTATAATGAATGTCTGAGGGAATATTCTTTAATTCCATGTTTTCTGAAGACGTGTGAACTGTCATGAGTCATTGTTGGTCGGACATTTTCTATTTTATTGTAGTGATCCACGTCAGAGAACAGATGAAAAGTCTATTGTGTCAGCAGTAGCATGAATAGTATCATTACTGAGCAAAGGTTGAACTTGAAAAAGTTCGCCTGACCCTAAGTTTCACTGCGTCGTTCGGCATGATTTCCATGTAACACTTTATTTTTGTCCATATGTTCGCAGCTAAAATCCATCTGGTTCCAAAATGTACGAGTGTCACCGACGAATGCATTAGACCATATACTGGAGATGCCAAGTGTGGAGAAGCTTTGGTTCAGAAATGTTCGTTCAGAGATAGTTCCTGAGCCGATATCACTTCATTTCTTCGACCGAAGTCCGAAAGAATGGCTTGAAAACATCAAACTTATTTCTGCTGATCAGTGGGAGAGGTATATCCCGTATTCCAGGCACTAGTTGAACCTTAACCAACGTAACAAAAGCGCTCTGTTCTGCTGAACCCAGTGTTTGTATCTACAACTACCTTGTGAAGGCGCTAGGGACCTCTTGTAAAAACTCCTTGAAGCGTTGACAAGCTTGCTCAAAGGACTAATTCTACGCATACCGGATGGTTTTCGGTGCGCAGTTCTTGGCGAACTGTCCCAAGAATTGGAATTCGCTGCAATTTCTGGAGCTAACATTGATGAAGTGAAATCTGTGCTGGAGTGCCTTTTCTATGCTCAAACGTGTCTTAAAGAATTGTGGATTCGGGTGTACAATGCATCGGTAAGATCATGTATAAGATTCACCAGAATTATATGCTTCTGGTTTAAGGAAGTTGATGCTGTAGATTGGTCCTCCATCCAGGTTCTCTTGAAGATGAACTGTAATGAAAGCCCGAAGTTTTGCAGGCGTTTAATTCACTTGCATGCTTTCATGCAATGAAAGCCTGCAATTGAAAAACACGTTGTTGCATTACTGACAGGCTTATGTAAATCAGTTTCGCTGCGTTTGATGAACTGAATCGAATCCAAACGTCAAGAAGTTCCGTTCTGACATGACCATTTTTATCTCGATCTTTCGAGTCTGATGGACCCTAGTCCAGTAATTGTAGTGTGCTTTCAACGTTCACATATGTGAGTTCTTATTTTGAAATTAAATTAAGAGTTTCTTTATTATGGACGTCCGACAAAAAAGACTCTGAAGTTTCCACTGCTGTGATTTTCTGATTTTGTATAAGTACGGTCAAAAACGAAAAAAGGAGTGTTATGTATGTCACAGTTTGTTAGATTCAGTATGTTACAGATTAGAAGTATTTTGTCAGTTTTGGGGAAACTTGTGAATAAAAATTTGAAAAATTCATTGATTTAAACTCCGAAGTACTGTAATGTTTTTCTCTAGTTCTGAATCATTTTAACGTGTCCATTGAATCAGGCTATACAGCAGTGAGAAAAGGATACATGTTCTCTTCAGCTTTTAGATGAGCAAGAATCGAGATTTTCACCGCTTGTAGTTGTGTCCATGAAAATCAGTTCAAGTTTTCCTGATCACAGTTTGATTTTCTTTTCTTTCTCTCTTTACTCGTGTGTCTCGATCGCTGTTTCAGAAACCTGCATTTGAGGAAATCATCGAAGTGTTGATGAGATTCAAACGTCTGGAAGAAGTCTTGTTCGTGTATACGCCTTGTCCCCCTTCCAAAAGGAGCTTCGACAATGATGACGACTCCGATGACGCCTTAGACAGCGATTACACAATGATGGAATACCCCCTGAGAACGTTTCAGCGAGTGATGCGGGAATTCGCGCATCCAGGATGTTGCTGGAAACAAGCAACTTTGCTTTATGATGGTCCTTATATTAAGGAATATTTTACCTACAGTTTCACACTGCGAATGGAAACAGAATTCTCGTCATTTGCTGTAACGAAATTCTTCTCTGATTGGTTCAGGCATGTTATGGATGGAAATGGAGGTTCTGAGTTCGGGGCAGCTGACTTGATTTCAGCTCTTTTTCCCAAACAAACGGAATAATTTGCGGGAATCGCCTTGGGCGCTTCCTTAGTTGCGAATAATTGTTGAACTTTTTAATGCATTGATTGAGACTTCGAAATTATCGTAAAAAAGACGACAAGAGTTGCGTGAATAACGGAGTTTCTTCAAGGACGGAAGGACTTTTCCTTACTTCGGATTGCGATGGTGACCATTTTTTCGAGAATTTGAGGAAGGTTTCGGCTGAAGTCATTTCTGTTCCTTGAGCTGTTTTTCGTCCTACACATGTTTAAAAATAAGGGAAAAGAGGAACTACAACACTTTTTGTCACATCATCCGATCCAGTTTGCTTGGTGAAGGTTAGATTTCGAAATTTATGAGACGAGTAAATCACTCCCTTTCAAAATTCAACAGGAGTTTACTTCCCGGATGAAATTTCCCGAAAGTGGAACAAGACTTTTTTATTGTGCATTTTAAAATGAACTGTGATGAATAGTCGAAAACATGCAAGCTGATTCGACGGACAGAATCATGTCACGTGACATGCTTGTTACTTTTCAAAACCACTGCGTGTATACTGTCGGAGTGAGCAGGAAAAAAAATAAGTTCATCAGTATAATGAATTAGCAAATTTAAACTTTTTATTTCTTAGACTCAATCCTGTTGATAATGTATACTGTATTCTGCCTACAAACGAAAGGCGGGACTACCACGAAAGAACGTGGCTGACCATCTCCGTATGTGTACGGACTTATCTTACAATTGTTGTATTTAGGAAAGTGGTATCAAAACTAATGAATGCAAAAATCGAAGCATGAATGTGTGTGCGAAATTTTCTTGCTGCGGAATTAGTTCCTATTTTTTCATCTGTCGAATCAATGCTGTAGCAGAATAGCGAGCGTAAGTGCGGGAATGCGTTTTGAATTAACTTTTCTTTCTTGCCCAACATGAACTCTTTTGGAGACATCAATGTTTGATCAATCATTTTCTACTTTCGTATTTTGCTCTACCCTGCTGAAGCAGGGATATTGTTTTGATGTCTGCAGTTCAAGGTTATTCAATTATTTCCAAGGAAAGTTGAACTTGGAAATACAGTATGTATTGTATGTGATGCCACACAGTTCCAACTGTTTTCGTGAGTTGGAGGATGTACAGTATTTAAAACCGTGTTTCTTTGTTATTTTCGTTCCCGATCTTTGGCAGTTACAGTGCGTGAATGAGTCAGTGCCCTTGCAGTGATTTACTGTCGCGTTGCTGTTTCGCAGTTGCGTGACAGCTGTCGCGCGTAAATTGCCTTTTTGTGCGCCCATTATTTTTCACTTCAGGGTAATGAACGCCGAAACTTGAACTTGTTTGCTTGTCACAATATCCTGGATATTGCTCGACATTCTATCCCAGTTGTGCCAAGATTTCGGGTCTGAGCTGGTTCAAGGTTACCGTTAGTCATTCTATACTCATTCCAGATCAGCTTGCTCATGCGGTGTTCAATAAGTTGGCGATTGTGTCGGAGGACAGGGGCTGTGAGATTTGCATTACAAACTGCTTAGTATAGTGTTCAGATTCCTTGAAAATTTTCCTGGTGACTGCGAGCCATTCTGATTCTTATGATGGAAAACAGAGAAATTCATTCAGCTTGCAGGAAAACTTGGTACGATGAAGGATGGACTGCTTGTAATGGCATTTACCGCTCAGGGAAAATCATATCAGAAACAACCTACAGAATCAAGTGAAGAATGAAGTTTGCTGTCCATTAAAGTTTTGGACCCACTTGACAGTTATCCATTAATGTGTTCGCTGTGTTGTTCTAACTTGAAGTTCAACAGTCAAGCCCGTTCAAGTCAAATTTCAAGGGACCAGCAAAAAAAATTTTGATTTAGGGAAACCAGCTTTTCTGTTGGGGAAAGAAAGGACAGGAAATTGTAGTTGATGATATTTTCGGCCTTAAATTGATTCTAAAATTACTTGACTGGACGTGAACTTTGAGGAAAGGGTTCATTTGCTCTAATAGTACTTCAGTATGCATCATGTTACATTATTATTGTTTTTCTCTTACCTCTGGCAATAAAATAATAGCTGAAAGGCTTCATTTAAAATTTGAGTTATGAATGTCCGAGAGGGGAACTTTTGGGAGGTTTTTAATGCAATGTTTCTTATGGGACACGGGCAGGGGCTTGAAAAAAATTGGAGTCACGCTGGAGGTTCAACTGTATGATGTACTGTTTTTTTATTTCTTGGTTTTTGCCGTTTCCCGGATCCTAGAGCGTGTGACGGGAAGATCATCTCAAATTACCGAATCCAGGCCAAGTTTTCGTGCATTGAGACAACAGAAGCCAGGAAAGGCTTGATCATCCGAACCGTTGACGGATGCCTAACCATTATCACGATCACTAATCCCACGAAACCGGTAATGAAAAACTGTTCGAGCGAACTTCCGTCCCGGAAAAAAGAAGTACTGCATGACGATGCCGACGAGAACGGGAAGCGACGCGTGCCAAATAAACCGATACGACTAATCAGCCCAGAAGAAAATCAATGAACGTCTTGACGTGAGCATATTTTGCCCAAACAAAAAACCAAAATTGGCATGATCCCTCCTTTTATGCATGAGATTTGGCTTTATCCCGCTTCTCTGCGCATGTGTGTGATCCTCACTCATCGTTTCCGTGTCACCCTGGGTGATGGAATGGATGTGAATGTATTGAAGGGGACTTCGGGAACTCGGACGGCAATTTGTTTAAGCAGAACTGCCACTGCGCAGTAAGTTGACGTGTAGTGTTCGGTTCTATAATTAATTTATTTTATTTCCCTCATGACGCAATTGTAATACATTCAAATCCCTTTGAAGCGTTATCGCATTTAATTAATCAGCAGTCAACCTCGTTAGTGTAAGAAGATATGCGGCTTGAATCAACCTTGTTTGGATTCATGATGCATTATTTGTGCAGGAATATGTCACGGGTTTATTAAATTCGAAGTCGCATCCTGATAATTGATTTTATACTTTAATTACAAGATATGAAGAAGGCACGAATCCTACTACGTAATAAGATATGAAGCTAAGGCACGAATCTTACTACGTGAAGGAGTCACTCGTATATATACATATAAGAAATTGCAGTGACGAGAGTGGAACACAGAAATGAATGCCCGCATTTCCATGAAATTCCCAGTGATGAACATCTAAAATCCACCGTCAGTATATTTCAAAGAGAGGTTGATATCTGAAACGCAGAATGAAGGAGAATTGTGCCTCCATTTAGCCGATATGAAAAGCTGGAACCAATTTAGCGCGGTATCCTGGCCAGGGCTTGAACCACTTCATCATGGGAGGGAAATCGTATTCGGAATTGAATTAAGTGCTGTAGCATATGATTATAGTCTTCTGAATTCTTCCCCCCTTCTTTTTTGTTTTTTAATGGAGCGACATCCTTCAATACGATATAATATAAAACTTGCTTGATTTAAAGCTGAAGCAACACGCCAAGTGTAATAATGACAGTTATCGCTGTGGAACACTCGCAATTCTCAGTAATCTCAGACATGTGTAAGCAGAAGTTTTGTTTTCCAGAACTCAGCTGCTATGCAGAACTTATTCATGGGCAGGAAAGAGATCATGTTTTACCAGTTCAACGAAACCGAACGCTTTATGGCACAAAGCCTGCTCACAACGGAGATTTTAAAATCTTCTCTGTGGAAGAAGGAAGGAATGAGTCATTTCCAGCGCGTTAGTTTATTTCCCCGCCGAACCAGTGAGTTGTGTGAGCAATTGTTTTAGGCTGGCGTCGATCCTTCTTTCGCCGTAACTGTCTGTGAACCTGTATGCAAGAAAGAAACAGTGTTCGAACAACCATTTTTTTCTGCTTCAGGAATAAAGTGAACAGTTCAGATCTCCGACGTATCCGCAGGACGCGGAAGAAATTCTCGAATGTTCCACCCTTACGTTGAACGAACTCTTGGGTTCAGTAATCTCTGAGGGCTTCGCTTGTAACCTATTCACATTTCATCGGGTAGGGTAGAGTTGCAGAACAGTCATTGCTGGAAGGCCACCACGAGATGACGGATGAGAGTTGAGTGTGGTGCGTCGTGACTCCTTTGATAGAGTTTCCGTACTGTACAGTAATCGCGGCCCAGTGCGACTCTTAATTTGTATATTGTAGTAGCTGAGAAATTTTTGAAACTGCAGAAATATTATGATTTTGTTACCCTGTTGAACAGGTATCGATGACTTCGAATGTGCTGACTTCTGGCTAAATGAGGATCGACGTATGAACGTCGGGGGAGGTTGATCGATCGAAGTTTTCATCCAACTCCTGTTGTTCTTGTTTGTGAAGACTTCACTGCATCGCGTCATACGTGTTTTGCCGATTGCAGTCATGAGAAGGAGCAATTTTGTGTGATCAGCAAATCCTCGGGTTCTCGAGGATTTGCGTTTTTGAGGTTTTGGGTTTTCGAGGATAATCTTAAATGAAGTTATACTGTACCGAAATGCGATTGGCATGCAGTGGACTACCTCTGTAGTATCGGACTGATGCCTTCCTTTGAGCAACCGTATTTTTGGGCTGCAATGTCAAGGAATATGTGCTTCGCCCTCGTACTGTCTCGGAATATTGACAATCTCTTCGGCACATCGAGATTTTCATGCAGTATTGAATTCACATACGAAAATCTCCCCTTCTCCTCGATGTGAATTCTTCGGATGCAGCTGTTGTTATGCGGAGAGCTCATTTTCTTCGTCTGCTGTAATGCACAACAGGGAGTTCGACATGGCTTTGTGAGAAAGTGGTGTCCCTACAGTCGCAGCGGTTGCTTACGTGAATCCACGACAGTATACGCGATGCGTGGTTTTCTGGTGAAACTGAACTTCGGTCTGCGAGACCTTTCTTTTTTCGAATTGGGGAAATGCGGATCCCTGCAAGGTGGTGTACGTTATAACCGAGGAGGAATAATGCGAGAACGGAGAACGACTGAGTTTTACATGGAATGGTTCGATGTGAATGTGCATCGGAACAAGTTGACGTTTATTCCAATGCGTGAGTGTATATCTTTTGTTTGCTCCCCCGCAATTCTCGCATTAAATTTTATACCTCATATCCAGATGTCCACAAATTAGAGGATGGGGTTAAACTTGGAGCACCTTGTTCGAGACAACATTGTTTGGTGAAGATTTTTTCCATTGGAAAGTATCTCAGCAGTGGTAAATTCGTGTTGAAACCGAATGAAGAACTTGACTCCCGGTTCTGCGTGACTGTCCAAATCAACCGATGTGAAGTTTTCTCGTCTCATCAGAAGGGATCCATGTTAACATTGAAGCATGGAGATATCATTGAGTTCTTCCTCCAAGGCATTCGTGAGTTGACTTGCACAATTGAAACTGAGCTGTTTTTGAGTGAAGTGATGCTCGTGAAACAGCACCTTACTGATTATTTTCGTATGATTCAAGCGATGAAGCCACAGTAAGTGGAAACGTGTAATTTCCCATTTGCTTGGTGTCATGAAACTTGAGTTGTCGTCTCCCCTGGGAAACGTGTTATGTGGGACTGAAATGAGTAACTTCCGAGAGCCATTTTAGTGGATACGACTGTGCAGATGGAAAAAAAAATGGATGAACACTGATAAATCTGGCTGCATTTGTTGCTGGTAGCATCCAAAATTTAGTAACAATATGGCTTATTGTCAGCCTAACAATCAATGTGAAGTGTACTTCTGTCAGTTTGAGCAATTTTTCATGAAGAACTGGCTGATCAATAGTGTGTTGAAGCTGAGTGCTAATTTTTGGCATTCATATCTGAGGACTGTGATAATGTACGGCTAGTTACAGAAGCGGGATGTGTAAAAACGAATCAGCTTTTTACCATCTAGAAATAGTAATGTTCGTGCGTTCAATTGCTTCCTCTCGAGGGTAAAACTCGACCGCACTTGTTTTGGATAACTTGGTTTTTGCAAAAATTGATCCAATATTCAATGAAATTGGTTCATTTATTTTGCGATCCCAAATATTGTCGTTCAGAAATCGAAATCTTCAGAGCTTTTTGAATTTCGTGTATCGGTCTGCCTTCAGATTCTGTGCACCGCGCGAAGTATTGCATTCTTGAAAAAAATAATTTTCCGTGATGCATGGTGGAGTTGTTCCCATATGTTAGCTGTAACTTTCTAGAGAGGGTTTTAAAACTTTACCCGAGTATGTACAGTATTTGTAGTGTACAATATCACTTGAAATATATTTCAGCGTACTTCAGGGTCATGTTTCTCTTGACCAATGAATGTTTGGTTCAAGTGCCGCAAACGTCAGCACTGCTGTTATGTCCTTGGCCGGTTCTGCAAAACATTTTCCAGTTTTTGACTCCCTTTGAAACCATGGAAAACCTCGTTCCGGTGTGTCGGCAATTTTTTCAACTGATGAGGAGTGGTGCAATTTGGACTCGTGTCCTGTTCAATGTTGATTTTGAAAAAGCATACGTTCCATACGGTCACCTGGGTGATTTATGCACCGTGATTGCTCCGTGAGTTGTTTTGCTGAATTTTTCAAGTGCTGAATCCTCTGTGTTTTTGCTGTTCTGTATGAGCACGTGAGTAAAATGTATATTCAGGTTTAACGATCTGCCGGAGAGCAAATATCTATCCGGTGCAGTGTGTGAAGGGGTATCTGTATAGCGGGGAATTGCTGTTATTAATGTGCTTGAGAATTTTCCCTGGTCGAAATCAACTCTAATTAGGATGCGGCCCTCTTCGAAATCTGTTGTCTTGTATTCCTGAATCGTGATCATCTTATTAAACGAGACTTCATCTCGTCTTATGATTTCTCAGACGCATCCGGATGCTTTTATTGGACGTCGGACAGCTTTGGGGACGACGATCCACATTTTTACGGAGTATTCTGTGTTCATCGTTCGAATCGGATGACTGGAGGATTCTGAAGTTGCTGGAAATATATTCTTCTGGTCGTGATGATTTCGTGACAGCACTCCTGGAAAACAGACAATTCTGCGCTAAATTGGAAACCCTGTTGGTTTCTTGCGTTGATTGCGTTAGCCTTTTATTCCGGGGTATAACTGGAGAAGGACCCGAAATTTGTTTCCCAAATGTTCGAGAAGTTACTCTGCGGTGTTCTTTGGAAGCGGACTTCTCTGGTGTGGATTTGAAACTGGTTTTTCCAAGGCTAGTATATATATTTTGTCTTCAGTGATGTTCAGTTTAGTTGGTCAGCTTAACGTACTAACGTCTGATTTCAGATTGAGAAGATTGCACTTGATCGATTCTTGGAGATATTTTTTTTATGGAGTGAGGCCCAGCAATGTCCTGACGTATCTTGACTTCCTGGGCTCTGGTGTGCTGAGAAGCCTGCATGCCAAAGCCTTGCCACTAAAGTTTAGTAAGGATGATTGGCTTCTAGCTCAAAGTAGGGGGACTTTCGCTGACCTAGAATCGCTAACCTTGCATGGAGGCGATTTTCAGAAGATGCCATTCGCTGACAGCATGCGCGAGGTTTTCCCAAAGGTAACGCTGAATGAATTACATTGGACTCAGAATCTACCGTATTTACTTGAGTAGCATGCGCCCTATTTTCTTCCAAAATCATGGCAGAAAAGTGGAGTGAGTGTGGTATGCGGGTATTAATTTTACGGAGAAGGAAAAATAATAAAATCATTTTGGTGCATCAGAAGTTGTTCTATTTGTTAAAAATATTTATGTTTGACCCCAATCTTCATGCAATTCTGTGTGTTCTTTCATTTACTTATCAGCTTGCTCAGTTGCAAATTATTACTTGGTAAATTAATGTAAAATGTCGGCCACCGAAAACTGGGGTGCGGGTCTTACGAGGGGAAAGGGTTTTGTGAAAATTTCGCGCCATAAAATTATGGTACAATCCTGTATGCTGAAGGGCGCGTGGTACTTGAGTACGGGAAATACAGTACTGCACTTCATATTAATTTTCTGTGCGCACTTTGTCCCCAGCAACTGCGCATGAATTACTAGGTTAAAAGCAGGATGCTTGAACTTTAACAGTAAAGTAATAAAACCAGTACAACTAAATTGGAACAGAGAGGCGAGGAAGTGTGCGGCAAATTTTTGGATAAATAAGGTTTCTCCATTGCATTTATTCATTGTATCGATGCGTTTACTGTACTTATTTGTCAGTCTGGGGGATAATGACTAAGTGAAGGCTCTTCGATTTAATTTTTTGGAAGACGTTTCGATAGCCGGAGTCATTGATGGTCGAATAACATGTTCTTCACTACTGTATTTTTATGTTTTAATCCATTTCAGAGAATTGATTAAAAGTCTGCTGTGTTAGCAGCAGCATGGAGAGTATCAGTTTTCTGAGCAAAGGTGGAACGTAGAAAAATTAGTCTGCTTCTGAGTTTAATCGCGTTGTTTGGCATGATTTTCATAAACATTTAATCTTTGTCCGTATATTCGCAGCTAAAATCCATCTGGTTCCAAAATGTACGAGTGTCACCGACGAATGCATTAGACCATATACTGGAGATGCCAAGTGTGGAGAAACTTTGGTTCAGAAATGTTCATTCAGATATGTTTCCTGAACCGATACCGCTTTATTTCTTCGACCGGAGACCGAAAGAATGGCTTGAAAACATCAAACTCATTTCCGCTGATCAGTGGGAGAGGTATATCCCGTATTCCAGGCTGATCAACTTGGAATTGGTTGCATTCTTTTCGCGAGACAAGACGACTGGGGTCACAGACACAGATGTTGATGGTACACTTCCGCGATCCCTGGAGAACATTTTTAAGGAACTTCGCAACTGTTCGAAGCTTAAAGGACTAATCCTACACATTCCGGACGGTTTCCGGTGCGCAGTTCTCAACGAACTTCCCCAAAAATTGGAGTTCGTTGCCATTTCGGGAGCTAACATTGATGAAGTGAAATCTGCGCTTGAATGCCTTTACCCTGATCAAACTCGTCTCGAAGAAGTGTGGATTCGAGTGTTCAATACATCGGTAAGCTCATGTGAGATTCACGAGAAGTAAATGCCTATATAGAATTTAAGGAGATGGATGTTTTGTAATGGTCCTTTTATTCAGGTTCCCTCGAAGAGGCATTGTAATGAAAGCCCAAGTTTTTATTGCTTTCAAGTCACATGGAAAGAATTGAAAAGCACATGAGGTTGCCTTCTTGTCAGACTTACGTCACGTAGTTTTGCTGCATTTGATGTATCGAATCGAATTCAAATGTCAAGAAGTCCTATTATTCCGCGTGATGATGGCTGAAATGTGTAAATTGATATGATCAATTTCATCTTGATCTTTTGAGCTAGTCTGGAGACCCTATTCCATTAATAGTATAGTAGGCTTTCGAATTTTACATGTGTAGGTGTGTTTCGATATTAAATTACTGTATGAGAGTTCCCATAGCCATTTGACGAAAGAAAAAGTCAAGTAGAGGTTTTCACGTCTCTCATAATCTGATCCTCAATAAGTTCAGTCAGAAAATGGAAAGTGAAAATCATGTTACTGTATGTATATTTTACAGATCAAGACTATTCAGTCAATTTTTTTGAAGCTTGTGGATTGAAAATCGCTCGGCTAAATTATTAATTTTTAGTTTAGTCATTTTAATGTCACCATTGAACTATAATATGTAACGACAGGCTACAACAGTGAGCAAAGAATACATTTTCTGTTGATGAGCTTTCAGGGGAGCGAGAATTAAGATGTTTATTGCTCGTAGTTCTCGAAATTTTGTTTCGAAAATCGATTCGAAGTTTTCTGGGCCACTGTGTGATTTGCCTGCCTTTCTCTCATCCTGACTCGTGTTTCTCACTGTTCCAGAAACTTGGATTTGAGGAAAACATCGAACTTTTAATGAGATTCAAACATCTCAAAAGAGTCGTGTTCGTGTATAAGCCTTGTTCCCCTCCCAAAAGGAGCTTCGACGATGATGACGACCCTTATGATGACTATTCCGACGACGAGTGCGGAACGATGCGGGACCAGCTCTTGCATGATTTCGAAAGGGTGCTGCAGGAATTTGCAGATAGAGGGTGTTGCTGGAAACAAGCGACCTTGGTATGTGATGGTCCTCCTGAAAGGGAATCTTTGACCTACAGTTTCGATTTTCGAAAGAAAACAGAACTCTCATCATTTGCTGTCACAAAATTCTTCTCTGACTGGTGCAAGTATTTTTCGGATGGAAAAGAACATTCTGAGTTCAGCCGTTATCATGAGTTCAATGCAGCCGACTTGATTTCAGCTCTTTTTCCCGAACATACAGAATAATATGCGGGTAGTGTATCTTACGCGTTTCCTCAGTTGCAAATTATCGTTGAACTTTTTTCTCAATGCTTGATTCACACTTCGAAAGTATCGTGCAAAATACGGAGTTCATCAGATGCGGATCAGTTCGAGCTACCATAAGGACGGCAGCATTTTTATTTTATTTTACAGATGACGATTATGGATTATTTTTCTTTCGTTGCGGAATGAGAAACGTTTCAGCAGATATGATTTCATTTCTTCAAGCTGTTGTTTGTCGGACACGCGTTACATGTAGGGGAAAATTATGAGTTATTGTGTATCACATCATCCGATCCAGCTTGCTGGTTAGAGTTAGACTTCGAAAGTTCTCAGTTAACCGAGTAAATCACTCTTCGAGAAAATTTAGCAGTTTATTTCCCAGGAACAATCCTTGGAAGTTGAACATGACTGTTCTTAATGTGCGTGTTAAAATCAATGAATAGTCGACAACATGCGAGCTGAATCGACGACCAGAATTATTTCGCGTGCAATGCTTGTTACGTACCAAAACGACGGCATGTATTGTTTGAGTGAGCAGAAATAAATGAGTTCATCGGTATAATGAAGGTAGAAATTTACTTTCTATTTCTTAGCTCAATCCTATTGTAAAGAAAAATTTTGCCTACAAACGGAAGGTGGGATTACCAAGAAAGAATGTGGCTGACATCGCCGTATGTGTACGAATTACTGGTACAATTGGCGTTATTTTCAGAGATGTGAAAATGACGAAATTTTGCAAAACTAAATTGTGAGCAGCTGTAAGTCAAAACTGAGAATAACTGAAAAATCGATGCATAAATGTGCACGTGCTAATTTTTTTGCTGCGAAATTAGTTTTTATTCTGTTCATCGTTCGAATTATTGCTGTAACAGAATAGCGAGTCTAACTGCGGGAATGCTTTTTGAATTAACTTTTCTTTCTTGCCTCGGTTGAACTCTTATAGGATACATCAATGTTCCATCGAATGTTTTTTACTTCGGTATTTTGGTCTACTTACGCTGCTGAAGCGGGGATAGTGTATTGTTATGATGTCTGCAGTTCAAGGTTATTCAATTATTGCCTAGGAAAGTCGAACTTCGATTTATGTAATGTAAATGATGCCAACGAGTTCCAACTGTTTTCGTGAGTCGAAGGGTGTACAGTATTTAAAAACGTGTTTTTTCTTTAGTTCCCGATTTTCGGCAGTTACAGTGCGTGAATGAGTCAGTGCCATTGCAGTGATTTACTGTTGTGTTGCTGCTTCGCAGTTGCGTGACAGCTGTCGGTGGTGAATTGCCTTTTTGTGCGCCCATTATTTTTCACTTCAGGGTAATAAACGCCGAAACTTGAACTTGTTTGCTTGTTACAATATCCTGGATATTGCTGACATTCCATCCCAGTTGTGTCTAGATTTCGGGACTGGGCTGGTTCAAGTTTAACGTTGGTCCGTCTATACTCATTCCAGATCAGCTTGCTGGTGTAGTGTTCAACAATATGGGGATTGTGTCGGAGGACAGGGGCTGTGAGATTTGAATTTCAAACTGATCATGTTGTGTTCAGATCCCTTCGAAGTTTTCCTCGTGACTGCGAGCAATGCTCATTTTAGCGATAGAAAAAGAAATTCCTGAGTTATTGTGATGTTGTTGCAACCGTTTCTATGGGAAGTTATGCAGGGTTGAGAGAAGCATGAAATGGTGAAGTGAGACCTGAATTAGTGATGCTTCCGTTTTCTTGTGCTAATATATGAATCCCAACGAATTCAATACAATGCAGAAGTTGGATTCTTATCAATCAATCATATCATTATCGTATTGCGTATATATTTTTTTCATAACTCACATGAACCTGCGTGTTTTGAAATTACATTGAATAAAACGATAGAAGAGAGTTGTGTGTTGAAACGGCTTATATTTGTTATTGAATGAGTCATTTATCCAGGCAACATTTTTTATTTCTCTCATTGGATTGGCCTGAAAAGCCCATGGAAGACAATGGAGTCGCGGCGTTTTTGGCGAAGTTGCATTTATGAAAGCAAGAACCTCGTCAACTCCGTCCTTTAATTTTCCTTCAGAGGGCTCATGAGATTTTCCATTATCTTGCTGGTATGCAGGACATTTTTGAAATGGCGATTTTTTTCTGGATTTCACGGAAAGCATCGAAATCATCTTTTGAATTTTTGACAGGCATTTATCAGAGCATTTTCCATTTCCTTGAGGAAAAAAAAGTGGTATCGCTTCGTAAAACTCCGCGAAAGATCACCGCATTTCAAAAGATACAGAACGCAGATATTCTGTACGGTAGGTTACATTTTGTTGGTCCACGGACGATGAATGCGTTTCTTGTAAGACTGGATTATGGTCTTCGAGACCCTTCGTTCATGAAATTAGAACCGAGTAGTGTACCCACGGAAAGTTCAGAGAAAAGCGAAACGAATCCAAAAAAGAGATCCGTCGAATGCTATTTTGAACTTGTGGGAAAAGAAGTTGTTGACAAGAGGCCACGGCTTAGGCTACGTAAGTTACCTAAATTTCGCATCCATGAATTCCCGTTTTTTTATTGCTTTTTTATTATCTGGATTCTTAACTTCAGATGTTCACAAAGTGGAGGATGGAGTCAAACTTGGGGCACCTTGTTCGAAGCTTTCTGGGTTGAAGGAAATATTCTCCATCAGCCAGGATCCGAATGCGGGTGCTTTTGTTTTGACGGTTGTCGAAGCGTTGACGCATCGCTTCAACGTGTCGCTGTGTCTCAATGATGACATTCTGCTAGTGGAACAGAAATCCGTGTATAAATTGAGACATGGTGACGTCATCGAAGGCATCTACATGGAAAATCGTGAGCTAATCCGTGAAAGTCTTGAAATATATGAGAGTCGCTTCGTAAGGTCCTTGTAATTTCTTCCACTTCTGAAATTCTTCCTTGGTTGATGGACATAAACTTGCTTTTTAAAAAGTAATGTTCAATCATTTTCTGACTATCCCTTCAACATTTGCTTCTTCAAGATGCTTCTAATCCCTTCAAGATGCTTCTAAAAACGGTTGCAACAACATCAAAACTATTCCAGTAAAAAAAAAAAAGATGTCAGAGAGTTAGTGCGCAGCAGTATCACTGCAAGGATTTTGTTTTTGCCTGTCGCAATTCTTTTCTGATTCGGGGAATTTCCCAGGGCTAGGAGCCAGATCATGTTCAGTCAAATCTCCTCAAGTCGAATTTCAAGGGATCAGCGAAAAATTCGTGTTTGGGAAACAAGCAGTTTTGTTGGGGAAGAGGAAGAAGAAAAATAGGATAGTGTGATTGTTCATGATCTGGGCCTTTAATTTCTTGGTGAATTAGTTTATGGGGTGCTGAACTTGGAGGAATCAGTTCATTTGCCTGATCGATCTTTCAGGTCTTTTCAAAACACATCATGTTACTTTTTTTTTTTTTTAGCTGTGTCAAAAAATAATAGCTGAAAGTCCTCCAGAAAATTCGAGCTATGAAGGTTCGAAAGGAGAGTTTTCGGAAGATTTTTCAATGCATCGTTTCTAGAAGGGAATTCAGTCAGGGACTTCAAAAAATCGACATCGGAGTTATTTGACTAATATAGGGAGGTTCGAGCTATCGAGGGTCAACAATATATTATATTTGAAAAATATTCAACAATTTTTTATTTTGGAAATGAAACAAATCAGAAGAAAGTATTCAATTAAATTTCGTCTACTCTTATCTTTCAGGATGCTTCAAAATCATGTTCCTTCTTAGAGAGGAAGGTCACTCGAGGAAACCGCAGACTTCGCCTCTGCTTTCGTGTCCCTGGATAGTCTTGAGGAATATCATGAAGTTTTTGACACCCATGGAAATGATGACGAATATTGTACCGGTCTGTTGGAAATTTTTCAAACTGATGAAACGTGGACGCATTTGGAGTAATCTCGAGTTTCACGTTCTTTTTGACGGAATCACCTCCGTGCCATTCGGGCACCTGGATGACTTCTGCAAAGTTGTTTCAGGGTAAATTTCCCTTTTTGTGAGTTCCGCGGATTGCTAATCAAATATGAGTATATTTGGCAGATTTATTTTGAAATTCAAGAGGACGGGTGGTCGTTCACGACGTGAATTTAATATGATTTTTAGAAATGAACCTTCAAAGCGATGGCAGTAATTTTTCGTCTTATTGTGTTTCAATTGTCAGAACTCAGCAGGAGCAACTTCCTTTTATTTATCTCCAGAACATTTCGTGTGTTGATCGGCGAATAGGTTGGATGATTTAATTCTTAATTTGTGGATGCACTACTCATGCGTTAAAAATCATTCTTCTTTCCCCAATTCCATTAACAATTTATGAAATTGTTCGTTGGCATTCCTTCATCTCATTTTCAGGTATGCTCGGAAGCTTTCACTGGAATTCAAGTTGGATGCCGGATCGGAAATGTCCTTGCCGCAGAATAGTCTGAGTCTGTTGTTCACACAGTATGACTGGAGTAATCTGGAGATGCTGGATGTTTCTGCGTTGGAAACCAACGAAGACGCGTGGATAAGTTTTTTGAAAAAGAATGGAAAAGCACTCACGAGTCTGAAGATCCTGTCAGTGCGTGGTTTTACTCCTGGAAACAGCCTACTACATTTTGCCAAATTCGGAATGATTCGATTTCCGAGTTGTGAGGAGGTTACCCTGAGGTGTTCTACAGAGATGATTCACGCCGTAGATTTGAGACAGATTTTTCCAAGGCCCGTATATTTTTAGCTTATTTTTTTTTTCTTGATTAATATGAGTCGATCAATTTTTTTTTTAGAATGAAGAAACTGCATCTTGGCCATGCAGATGTCTATGAACTTGCGAAGGCAATGTACAATACTTCTTATGAGAAACCGATGATGAAACAGTTCCCTGACTGCCTCGGCTCAGGTGTGCTTTTGAGCCTCCATGCCTACGATTTGCCTGTACAATTGGATGCCAAAGGTTGGCGACTGGCTCGAAAAATGGGAATGTTCAAAAACCTTGAATCTCTGAGCTTGAATGGAGAGCATTTCGATAACTTGCCATCTGTCAAGGAATACGGCATTTTCTTCCCAAAGGTGACTCATTAAAAGATCTCATTTCCTTCCGGGCGTAAGAAATTTCATGCTTCTACGGATGATTTAAATTCTGACCTAGAATTAAAAAGGCTGTCCGTGTGCAAATCGTTTGAATTTGATTTATTCCAAATATCTTATTTTATTTTGAGATTAATCTGATCAAACGACGAAATTGATACCTTCTCAATTGACATGCGTGCGATTAAATTTCTTGCATTTCGTATATAGTGACCCGTCTGATGGTATCCGTGAGCGAAGTGTGAGATATTCTTGAATTTTATATGCATGCAGTTGAAAGAATTGTGGCTGGAAGATGCATCCCCGATGAAAGCAGTTCATCACTTATTATCGATGCCGTCATTGGAAAAGCTGTGGATCAGGAATGTTCGGAAGCAATTGCGTGTAGAACCTGGACCACGAGTACTTTCTGCCTTCAATGAAAGCCCCAAGGACTGGCTTGAAAAGCTGAGATTCGTTGCAGCTGACGTGTGGGAGACGTTGATGCCGTATTCAAAAATGAT